CGAGGAGAATATGCTCTGCAGAGAAACTAGAGGAAGAATTCACGAATCTCGAAAAGGTGCTGAAAAACAACGGCTATACTCAAAAATTCATTAACAAATATCGAAGATGTGAAGGCCCAAATAACAAACAAAACACAGTCGGAAAAAAGCCTGTCTTCATTCAACTAGACTTTAAAGGTGAATACATTGCAGAAATGGTCAACAGAAGACTGAGGACATCACTAGCCAGAGCCTATCCTGCAGCTAAGTTGGTTCCCGTCCATCGAACAACATGCTCTTTGGTGCAGTCAAAAGTCGATAGATACCCTTCTCATGTTAACTCCAACTGTGTATACAAATTTACGTGTATCTGCGGGAGCAGTTACATTGGGAGAACAGAAAGAAGGGCACACCTCCGATTTTCTGAACATGTGCCGAAAAGCCTACGTCTCAAGGGAACAAACTCTTATAGCAGCGCTACTACCAGACATCTCCTCGACACGGGTCATGAGGTGGAAATCGAGAAATCCTTCAAAATTATCAATAGACAAAGGAGCTCCATTCTCCTGAAGTTTGCTGAAGCGATTTCTATCAAACGCTTGAAACGAGATCTATGTGTTCAGAAAGAATAAGTTATTAGTCTTTCTTTGCCTTGGTAACTGGATGTCTTTTTTCTCTCATATGATTACGTAATCTTTGTCTTTAACCTCACCCTCCTTTTATAATCTGTAATTCTGCTTGTCTCTTGTTTCTATGACTTGAGTTCAACTCAGTACATTGTTACCTAACTTATTAGTCACTCTGCATCTAAAGCATATTCCGTCTTTACAACGTAACTCCTTTACCATTATATGCATACATTTATTTTGTTTCAACTTGAACTGCCTGTGTAAAAACTATATAAGCGCAATTTTCTGAGCACTGTTCACTGATTGTGGAACTTTCAGTCAACTGACAACATGTAAAATTTGCAAGCTGTAAGCAGTTGATGAGAAGCCAACGAAATAAATGATGGTACCATATTATTCTGCACCAACCACTGTTGTTCTTGCTTTTTTTCGAAAGCTATTCCACATCAGTTATTGTATTCAATGTTCAAACTTTCGTCTTTGGATACACTTATGAGGTCTTTTTACACTAAAAGCATAATTCAAATCAATTTTGTTAAAATAAAAATTACAGATCTTACACTAGACGATTAATTCTGTCAAGTTGTCAGTGTTGACTGATAACCCCAGCTGTAAATGTAATAACCTACCTGCCAGTTGGGAAAGTGAATATGTTTGTAAATAGAATGTAGAAGATAACTATTTTATTGAATTTTTTCACAGCAAATTGTATTCTTATCTATATCAATAATCTAACAGAAAATGTCATTCATTCATCTTGTAAAAAAATGTGGTGATGAAAATGCCATCCCTTCAGTTTAGTCGGCATCTATCGGTTATTTCGTATAAACATCTATCATCTTAATAGCCATGATATAAAATCATTATTCAAATGATTGCTTGTGAAAACTTCCATCCACATATTTTCATGATATTTAAAAGATTTATTACGCATGCCTTCTTACAAGAATATTTTTTTTAAAATTCTATATTCCTGTGCATTATATAAAATGAAATAAGAAATTTAACTTTCAGGTATTGGTTTTGTAGGGATTTTGTTTAATTGGTTGGAGAATTTCAGCATGGGTTGACATCAGTTAGAGAACCATTAGAAAACCTGCAGTGAGTACTGGATAGTTGTTTCGTCAGCCTAGTGTGACACTCTTCATCAGTACGCGTAAATTTGGGAATAGGAGGACGTCTTGAGAATCTGCAAAATGATGTAAAGTACAATCACGGATAATACATCATTGGAAGTACATTAACAAGATATATTCGACAAGAATCTTTGTCGTGCTAGAGTCCTTGGAATGATATTATACATTTTCAGTGTCTAATGCTGGCCATATTGGCCTTACCATGGAAACTATGACGTTTTCGATGAAAATATAGCTCTGATCAAACAGTAGTTCGTCGGTGGCACAGTGGTTAGGACTCTCGCCGACCATGCACATGGTCCGGGGTTCGAGCCCACGCCGGCGCACACCTGATATCTATGGTCGGCCTGAAAAATTTGGGCTACCGATATCCATGCTGAAAATTCCATACTTGTACCAAAAATACGGTATGGAATCAAGCTGTAAATCAAAAATAAAAAATTAAAAAAAAATAAAATGAGCTGTCGTATTCTTGTATTGATCATTTATTTATACTCTCTAGTATAAAGGATTGTAATGGTGAAACTAATAATGATAACACAAAGAATATAAGGCATCTGCAGTTTTACCATATGAGGAACGGACATCTGAGGCTCTACGTAGGATTCCCAACAAGGCAGGAATTAGGGTGGCATGCAAACCTACAAACTCACTCAGAGACAAGCTCTGTAGGCTAAAAGACACAGTTGACCCAATTAGACAAAATAATGTAATTTACAAAATACCTTGCAATGACTGTGAGTTAAGTCAACTACATAGGTCAAACTAGTAGTTCAGGAGTAGTGAGATTATCAGAACATAAGAATTTAGCTAAGGTTAGAATGATTGACCCCGCGAAGATAAGTAATTTAGAAAAACACTCAGCGATCTCAATGCATGCACTAACAAACAACCACACAATAGGGTGGGACAGAGTCAGAATTCTGAAAAGTAATATAGGTAGGTGGAGAGAGAGATTGACCACTGAATCTCGGTTTATTGAGTCTACGCCCAACATATGCAACAGAAGTGACTCAAGGAAAATACCAGAGATATGGAAGATATTATTACCATTCAAATGAGAGGATAATAAATAATGTTAAAATGTATTCATTTAACATTATAACATTTTATTGAATTTGAGATTTTCCCGTCGATTGATTGGACCGAAGTGTTCGGTCTCAGTTTGACATGTCGGCTTCTTGTGCAGCTGCTTCGACGATTTCTGGGCATTTAGTTAGTATTTAATTGGTGGATGGTGACTAGCAGTAGTAGAATCCAGGATGCGCAATTCATCCTATTTGGGACTCGTCAGCTGAATGCACCTGCATTTCTCACCGAGTGATGAAGTTCTCACGTTTTGACGTTTGAAGCTATGGGTACTGGGTTCGAGCCTCGGTGGGAACATCATCACTCACTGAGAAATGCAGGTACATCCAGCTGACGAGTCCCAAATAGGATGAAATGCGCATCCTGAATTCTACTACTGCTAGTCACCATCCACAAATTAACATTATAACACTCTAACAATAGATTTATTTTCCTAAAAGGCGTCTTATTTCCCATCTTACTGACTAACAACACTCGTCATAATTCTCATCATATTATATTTATTGATAACACTAATTGTGGTTCCGAATGTACTTTATCTTCCATTCTGTTTCACGCAAGTCTTATATTGATTTTATTCAAATGTCTAATCATCAGTTTTTACTCATATATTAAACGAAACAAGAACGTTATGTGAGACTACCTTGATGTGATTATGAACGGCAATAAATTGTGCTCGAAACGTGTTCATCAGTAAATATTACTGTATAACACTGTGTAATTTTATCAACATAAAATTTTATCCATAATGGAATTAAACTCTACCACAGCACCCAAGTTTTATCCTTATATCAGTTGATATTTTCACATTGTAGAATATGGATGGCTTGTTTGGATAGTTAGACCTTATTATTTATTGATATGCCAAAGCGGACAGTAGTCACATTGATTCTCTGTTTTAATGCAATATGGGTTTCAATTAAATATCAGTCGAAGTAATTATTACTATATTTTGCAATAGAAACAATGAAATACCATATAATTAGGAAAAGTAAAATACCTTAGAAGTCATTAATTCAGCAATATATTCTAGATACGATTTCATTCAAGTGTTTTAAACGTCGTCAAATATATATATATATATATATATATATATATATATATATGAGCGGTTATTTTCTAAAATAGAAGACACATATTGTATAACCATATTTCAAGTTTTCTTCAGAATTTTGACTTCAAAATTACAACTGACATATATTTGATCTCTGAGAGTTGACATTCAATGTGGCATTGCCTATTTTACAATTCGTTTTATTATTAAAAATATGCAGGAATATTTCAAATTCTCAGTTTGCAAATTAGTTTACAGTTTGATTGGTTGCAAGGTTTCATCATGAGCTGATATCAGTTAAAGAACCATTGGGAAACCAGCTGGGAGTACTTGACAGCTGTTTCTTCAGCTTAGTTTGGGTCTCATCATCAGTATACTCCCACCACGGGGGGGGGGCGGTTCGAACTCAGGACCTTCTGGTTACAAGGCCAGCTAGCTTGTAGACCATTAAGCAGCCACTGGGACTTGGTTCCAGTGACCAGCCCATGAATTCTAACATCTGCCAATTTTACAGTTTCCTTTGGAAACCGACACTATTCAGATCATACACACACACACACACATAATATGTGAACCCTTTCATACCATCTGTGGTAACCAAGATAGCAAGCATCTTTACACAAAACTGACTTGCATACTACTGATTGGTTTGGATGGGTAGTAGTTGTGTGTCACTCATACCAACTAGTAGGGCTTGCTAACCAGATTATCAAGGTGATCAGGTGGTTTGAAGTGATTCGGCTGAGGGATTCTGAGCTGGGTCAAACTAAGGACTTCACTGATGAACTCAGTCCCAAAGGGGTGAATCGGTTGTTCGACGTCTGGATCCCTTCGATTTATTTGACTAGCAGCAAGCACTACTAGTTGATGTGAGAGGGGTACACAACTACTACTCATTTCAGCCAGTTAATCAGTAGCATGCAGTTTTATACAAAAATACTTGAATAATTATCTATATATACTTTACAATTTGTGCTTTTGTATATCAATGATAGTGTAGGCTTTTATATTGTTAGTTTTGCTAGGAATTCTGCTTTCCATGTATCGTCTCTTCACTTCTGTTATGCTGCTTTTTTTGTTTCTTGTTTTCATTTTACTCTTTGAAATCAACAGAAATTCGTTCGTTATTATTCTAGACTTGGTGACAGATGTAGTAATCATGGCCAAAATGAATCAAGCGGTCATTCACAAAATGTTATTTACAACAACAACAACAACACCAACAGTAACATTTCTAAAACTTACTATAATAATAGTAGTATGGAGAAAGCAGTCCAAGGAGAGTTGTTAATATCAACAGATTTAAAAGAGAATGGCAATAATAATACCACTAATAATAATAGTCATGGTATTATGGATCATTATAGTCCACAGATAAGTAAAAATGATTACGATGAAAATGACTGGGACCCACCGTCAACTGAATCACGTTTAGTAATGTCTACAACAGTCACCTCTGCACCGCTGCTGACATCTTCATCAGTCAATGCAAGTCCTGTTGATGAAAAGCTGTCAATACATAAAACAAATGATATAAGCAATAAACAGATACAACAGGAAGACGAATTATTGATGACGACAAGTGTGAAGAATTATCGGTATACACAGGAGAATAGTTGGTATATGTTTCGAAATTGTTTTGGTCTATGCTGTTTCAAACCGGTAAGTTGTTTATCGCGCGCACGCACACACACACACGCATACACTTCATTCAACTACCCCCTCCTCCCACCCCGCATTAGATAACTTGTTTTCAAGATACAGCAGGGGTTTTTCACAAGAGAAACTCACCTAAATGATTTTTACAGGCATTTGTCCTGTTTTACTTTTATAGAGTGTGTTACAGATCCTTATTGGTGTATGGAATCCATGGCATTGGAATCCAGGATATGCATTTCGTCCTGTTTGGGACTCGTCAGTTGGATGTACCTGAAATTGTGTTACAGACCCTTATGTCTTTACTGAAAATACACATAACTGGTATTGATTAACCAGTTGCTTATTCAAATTTATCTCTATACTGACAAACTGAGCTTCAACATGGAACTTTGCACAGAAGTGCAGAAAAATTCAAACTGCCACAGTTCATGTATTAAGAACACAATATTCAGTGAAGAGACTCTTTTCAACGAATTTATTATCAAGCTGTACAATCGTATATATATATGGGTTTCTTTTAAGAAATTATATCCGGTGAGGGAATTAGGTCAGAGGTGTGAATACATGAAATAATAATAACAGTATGAAATGCAATTAAAATGTTTGTGATTATAATCATAGTTAAATGTCAAGTAGCAAAACAATTAGTGTCACATATACAATAATACATAAGGTGTATAGAATTTGGAAAGGGGTACATAATTATAGGATTAATAGGCGAATATAAAATGTTACACAACATGGTGTGAAATTTGATAAGATAGAATTCAATATTGTAAAAATAAAAAATATAAAAATTAATAATTTTTGGTTTAAAATGACAAGTGGGTCAAGTGGAAAAGATTCAGAGTGAGAATAGTAATAATAATAAAATAATAATCGAAGTAATAAGAGAAAGGTACATAGAATAACTAAATAAACAAAATAAATAAATGTCTATCCCTCTACGGCCAAGGCAGAAGTAGGGATTGTACGTACTTCTTTTGTACACAAATGTCTGGCTTAAAGTCATGAATTACCAAGGCCTCAACTGTCTTTAGAAGTCTGTAACGAAGAAAACGCAGGAAGTCCATGTAGGCTACAAATGCAGAGCTGAAAAAGATAGATTCAAAGGAGGTATAAGGAGCAGAAATGTGAAGGAGAAAAAGCATAACAGAAAAAGCAAAAAACATGTAGGTTTAATAAATCTGGGAGAATATAAAGAGTGTCTCCGTCTGTACCATTCAGAATGGTTTTGAACTAGATCATCAACAGTCTCAAGTCAGCAGTTCTTAATTCGAACCCTCCTGAGTCTTTTCAACTTAATCTTATAATTAGTTAACATTACTAGTTGAAGACGGAAGTGGCTTGGCATGCTGTGTGACTGAGATTTACTGACTGACCACTACTGATGTATTAGATGGAGATTAGAGACAAACTCGAATTCTGTTGCAACTGAGTTTTTCATTTCGCCTTCAATCATCATACACGATAGCATTTACTGGGTACTATTGTTCACAGTAACAGTCCAGTTAATGTGGGGTTATTATTATCGAAAACAAGTTCATTTTTTAATTTATGAAATATAACATTCCTTTTATCCTCAGTTTTTATAATTGTTGTTACGGTGGTTAAATCAATTTCGCAATTTCTAATTTAATGCGTGATTAGCAACTTACACAATTCCGGTGTGTGTGTGTGGAATTTCACCATATTTCCCTTTGGAAACCGAGACTATTCAGATACCACCCCGCCCCCCCACACACACACAATATGTAACCTACTTGGTTCCCATAATAAATGGCAATTAAGAAAGCAAGAATTAATTAATGCTCGGTGTTATACACTACTGATTGTTTCGTATGAGTAGTTGGATATAATTCGCATCAACTAGTAGTGAGTTATTGGTTGTGTTGTTGCCTGTAAGCATAGAAGTCACTGGACGAGAATGAATGACGGCGAATTAGTTGTATTTCTCCTCTCATCTTAATCTAAACAGAAGATTTTGGGAAGTTTTATTTATTTTGACAAGAAAATCCAACCATATCAATGGATCAGAAGATGTAACATATTGATTGATACATTGTTATGTACGTTAGTATTGCCAGTGGTACAAACAGATCTCAAGTAGAACTAAGTGAAGCAATAACGAGTTAGTAAGAAAGCCATGATACTTACTGACAGTTGCTGTATAAATATCAAAGATTTGTCTAGAATTGCAATTCACATGCGATTGGATCGAATCTCAAGGGCTGAATGATCTATGAGCTCACCTTTAATCGGAAGTTCCTGGATTCGAACTCCAGGGTGTGTGTGCTGCTAGTGAAGAGTCCTGAACTGGGATGAAACAACTCTCCAGTACGCCCTGGTTCTTGATGATTCTCTGATTTATGTCAAATCGTAGTTAGAAAGAAGAGAACACGAAGTTCAGCAAAGATGGCGATCTTTTCGGCGATTTCATTCTCAAAAGCTGTACAATCGCATCTATATAGATTATTTTACATGGATACAATTATTATTTGTTTAATTTCACATAGTAACGAAGGTGATAATAATTTTCAACTTGATGTGAAAGTTTGAAGGTAGGAATATAGATTACAAGGGGCTTAGAGACAAGATTTCATAGGATTAGAAAGTAGTTACAACGTATGCAAAAATTAATATTTGATAACTGGAGAAATAATTTTAAGTCAAATAAAAGGTGATAATTGTTTTCAACTTGATATGAATTACAAGAGGCTTAGAAACGCAGGGATAGAACGAATTACAGGTGTGAACAAAATGAGCATGGAAACAAATTGAAATCAGAATTTTCAACATGAAATGTTAGGAGGTGTGAATATAGATTACAAGAGGCATAGAAGCAAAAAATTACACAGGAGTAGAATATAATCGTAAAATGGTTATTCTAAACGGATTACAAGTGTGATCAGGAGGAGCATGGAAACAAAATTAAAATAACTAGTTTATTTTATAACTGAAAGTTTGAAATAATAATTTGAGCTTGAAATGAAAGTTACGAGGTGTGAATATAAATTACAAAAGCCTTAGAAACATAAAATTGCACAGGATTAAGATGTAATTGTAAAATAGTCATTTTAAACGAATTGTAAATGTGAACGGGAAAAGCATGGAAACAAACTTGAAATAACTGTTTTTATAACTAGAAAAAAATTAGGTGAATTTAATGAAGACTGATGGAATAAGGATCAGACACACGGCGAACTAAAAAAATCCTCAAAAGGAAAAGAGAGAACGAAAAAAGACGAAGAAGAAAAAAACGGAAGCAAAGAGAACATACCAAACTAGGTCCATGTAATTCTAGAGGTGTTGGACTAATTTCTTTTGAACACACAGCTCCGGCTTCTCGATGCATATTGCGAGGGCTTCTGCAGTACAAAGAAGTCGGAAACATACTACTCTTGGTAAGTTTCTGTTGACTTTGTAAATCACTTTGAAAGAATCAGTTGAGATGTTGTGGAAGGTGTTGACCAGATGCTCAGTAATGGCAATTCTGATTGAGCCAGTGCCTCCTCTTTGCAGCCACGCTGGGTAATGTTCTCTAATTCTCCAGTTATCAAATATTAATTTTTGAATACGTTGTAACTACTTTCTAGTCCTATGAAATCTTGTCTCTAAGCCCCTTGTAGTCTATATTCGAACCTTCAAACTTTCAAATCAAGTTGAAAATTATTATCACCTTCGTTACCATGTGGAGTTAGACAAATAATAGTGTATCCATGTAAAATAATCTATTTAGATGCAATTGTACAGCTTTTGAGAATAAAATCGTCATCTTTGCTGAACTTCGTGTTCTCTTCTTTCTAATGTCCATATGGGTATTTTCCACGAACTGAAAAAGTCGTAGTTAAACCTGTAAAGAAAACCATATGTTAATGAACACCAGTCTGTACTGCAAACAGATTGGTTAATGGTCTACACTATAAGTAGTAGTAGTAGTAGTTCAGTAAACTAATCAATGTGAATGTAACATTTGACTTGAAGTAAATCAAATAGTAAATTTAAGGGTTTTTGTTTAAATCTACTAAATTCTAGTCAATCTTTTTTTTAAATGTCACACTCTACGGTGTATTAATTTATGACTTTCATTTACCAATTTTTTCATGATACATTCTTTCTTTATACTGGAAATTGTGTGTGTGTGTGGGGGGGGGGGGTCGGTGGGTGCGTGTGCGTGTCATTGTGTCACACTACAACTACATAAACAATGCATATAAATAAATAACTTTACTTTCATGTGACATGTGTCTAAGTTAGTTTTCAGTGATAGTGATGGTGAAAACCAAAATAAAGAAATTACTGAAGAAGAATGTTTTCAATGCTATTTGAATCATATCACTGATTGTAAATCTCAGTGTAGTTTGCTTACCTCTACCATATTTGTTCAATTCACATCGGTGAATAAAACTCAGCACTTGTAGTATTCAGATCTTTATTTCCACTCGTGTGCGATTCGTCTGGCATATGGACCTTCAAGGTTTAGAGTTTTAATAGTGATGGTATTGTTTTCATGAGATGAGGTGGTTAGTTTCACGATCAACCTTCACCGCTTTTCGTGGTTTACTGTTGACTAGGAGAGTTAGAGGAGTACGTCGGCTGAAAATTGAACCCCAACTACTTGTGTGGTTGGCAAGTATTCAGATTAACTTTCGATTACTTAAATAGATTTAATTCAAATTCAGTGTATTTTAAAAGTTGGAGGATTTCATCATGAGCCGACATCAATTAGGGAACCATTAGAAAATCAGCTGGGAGTACTGGACAGTTGTTTCGTCAGCCTAGTTTGGGACTCTCAATCATACACACCGACCGCCAGGGTTCGGACTCAGGACCTTTGAGCTACAAGGCCAGTGAGCTGGTAGACCATTAAGCAGCCCATGGGACCGATCCAATGGCCAGCCCATGAATTCTAACTTCTGCCAACCAATATTTGAAAAGTATTTCTGACTGGGATTTAGCAATGCTTATCTAAATTCAAACTAATTCCAACGTAGATTTCGTCA